TGTTTCATGCTTTGAAGTGATTGAATGTATTTTGGGGGAGTTGGGTTGGGTGGGGAGGGGGTTTGGATGCAGGAGTTTTGGTTGTACCTTGTGAACGCTGAAAAGTGGCAAATAAAGTTTTCTGTTCATTCATTCATGAAAAACTTGTGTTTATTCCTTTACAAATGAATCATCTTAAATGCATATGAAGTGAAATACAAATGGAGAGCATATATAGGTATCTGTGGAAACAATTGAAGAAACAGATTAATTTGATTTTTTTCCTTTCAATTTTTTCTTTCCTGCTGGCAGTCACACAATTGAGCTAATCAATTGATGTTTCAAATTCAAGATGGAGACCAGATGTATGATAATTTGCATGTTCAAGAGTACTTTCCGTGGTTTTCAGGAAAGTAAAAAGAAATTGGAAGTCACTCACTGAGCAGATGCCATTGACATTTGAGCCGGAATAACAAACTTGATGATTTCTGTCATAAGATGGATTTTTGCTTGGGCAATTCCAATTTGCTTCACAAACTTCATCTGTCCTGATTTGAGTTTCAGCCACATGCAGTCTCAATGATGTACCTGTTGACAAAGAAACCCCAATTCTCTTGACTCTTTTCAAGAGTCTCTTTCCAAAATATCAAGGACCAAGATAACCTGTTAGTTTTATACAATTTCTCCTGAAGGAATTTCTCCAAATGGTTTACCCATGAAGACATATCTAGGAGCAGACTGAACACATTGTGCTTTGACTTGTGTTTGTCAATTTCATTACAATTTAGTTGTTTTTACTGATTTATTTATTATTGTACCTGCTTATTTTATTTTTGTAATCTAGGAAGGGGAACAAAGTGTATGCATGTACATCAGTTGTGCATTTGTACATTGTGTGATGTGTTTTCCTTTTCTTCAATACCCATAAACTGCTGATTCATCTATTTTCATTCTGATGTGATGGAATGTGTTTGAATGAATGTGGGTGGGGAGGGGAGGGAGTTTTGAAGTTGGAATATTATTTAGACCTTGTCAATGATGGAAAAGCAGTAAATGAAGTTTGTTTATCAATCAATCAAACCTCAATAACGCATTAAAATTCAAAATTCAAATTACAAAATCCAACTATAAGAAAATTAAAATAGCATAAAGTAGGTTACACTTGAGTAGACCTTACAAATAGATGGCTTCCATGATATGGGTGATTCAAAAGTCGATTTTAGTTGAATTTATGTATGGGAAAATGACAATGATGACTGCCTTGTCTGCATGCCATCATCATGACTGAAATAGAGGTGTTTAAGAAATTCCTATAGGGGGCATCAAAGTGCATGTTTTCCTTCATGACTGGGTTTCAAAAGAGCCATGTAAAATTACACACAGAGTTTCTCCACAAGGAAAAGATCAATTTATTGAGTTAATCATCTTCACAGTTGTTAACTGGAGAATTAATAAAAAAAAAAGAAAAACAGGTTTTATGCTAATGTGCTCATAGTCACAAAGACATCTTATTCAAGATTCCTTCCATAATTTTAGCCCCTTTGAGGGCTGTTTTTCTTCACTGGGCATGAAATTGAGTACATAAAATTAAACATAGAGTTTTTATACAATAATGAAAAGATCAATTAATTGAGCTATTCACCTTCAGATGCGTCCATGGGTCATTGATAAAGAATATACTCTTTCATGCTTATGAGGTCAGATTCATAAAAAAGTCTAATTTTATGCAACACAAATCCCTCACTTACTTCCAGTCTCAGTGATTCCCCAACCCACGATTTTAACTGTAGCTCCTTGAAAGTTTGCTCCACTCTGTGGCAAAGGAATGGGAGCCACTTGGGATGTTACAGAAACAGCATCAATGCGAAGCAAGGACAAATCATTCTTGAATGGACTCAGTCCTGTGTAATCCTCATGATGCATCATTCGATTTGAGTTGACAGTTCTGACCACATCTCCATCATAGTAAACCAGTCCTCCGAGATAAATTGTGCATGATGGGGCCTTTTCAAGAGTCCCACTAAAATTTGAAAATTTCAGAACAAGGGAAAATCATTGAATTACTTTCCTTGAACCTGTTGAAGTCATAAATATATCTACAGTAGTTTTACACCTCAGTGTTTGAAATACTGAAAATCTTTCAGGAAGTTTACACCAAATTGAAAATAAAACAAATACATCTTTAAAGAAAATATATATTTAAAAAATTTAGTAGATTAAAAAATTAATCTAAAAAACCACGTTTTCAAAAAGCAAAAAATAACCTTAAANTTACTTACACTTGAGGCTACTAATCAATGACAAAGTCTTTATAGAGCTGGTAAATTTGCGCCTGGAGAGAATTCAAAGTGGGGTTCCAATTGGATCATTATGAAGATCAGCCCACTGTCAGCGAAGAGTTATTTGTTCCACAATTTTGTATTTTATGAGGACGTGGGCATTTCCCAAAGTTTTTTCTTGACCAATGAAAGATTCACTGAAGAAAAAAAGGGGTGTCCAATATGGTTAGAGAATTGAGTACATGCATATAAATTATAATTTTTTTTACCTTGAGCGGATTGTTATGCAATGAGCAGCGGATAATATCATGTCAGCTGCAATCAATGTCGCCCCACATCTTCCAAGATTCAAGCAAATCATTGAAGCCATGTAAGCATGATCTGACCGATCAGCAACTTCTATCCCATTGATTATTACAGCTGAATCAATGCCATCTGTACCTTGGTTCTGCTGATCCGAACCTTTTGAATAAAATTTATCACACGACACATCAATCAAAATGTTTATTTAAACACGATGATACAATAATATATTTCTTACCGCGGGAAATGTCAAAGAAGGCAATCAAGACGATCACCCAAAACATTTTTGAAAATTTTCGCCGCATTTCTCCTGTTTACTTTTAAAACCTCAACACCCACAAATCACAAAGTAAAAACTGAACTGCGTAGATTTTCCTTCAGCAGAACAAAGAAAACTAAACTTGAAAAGCTTTCACGACTCGCAGACAAAAAATTCGTGTCACTGCGCTTCAACCTTGGAGCGAACGTATAATTGCAAAAAACAACGTTTCTTTCAGATGTTTTTTTTTTCAAAAGTATCTTGTAGTAATTTTGCTTCATTCGAGCTGAATTTAAACGGATGATGCTTTCATTTCCAGCTCCCAAATATTTCATCATGATGACAAATGACTGTTTTCCCCCTCCATAATGCACAAGAAAGTGCACCCATCAAAAATTCAGAGGGCATCATTTGCATTAGGGATGCTAAATCAATAAACCACACATTGTACTATGGGATTTCCACAAGTTCTCACAATTGGAAATATAATACAGTGAGACCCCCATATGCTGCAGACACCTTGACATGGGGACAATTTGACATAGGGACATTTTTTTCAATTAAAAAAATCATAAAAAAGGCCCAACAAATGAAAATTGACTCAGCCTTATGACATTGCATGATACAATTGCCAATACATTTTAGGAAAATTGATTTTTATCAGGCTGCATTTTAAGAAACAGATATTTCCAAACCTAAGATCTATATGTAAGAAAAATTCTTTGGTACTTTTCCCATCACTTTCCCATCCATCCAACTAATTAAAAAAATTACCTGTAACACAGAGGGACTTCCTTCTCTTTTTGTGACTTGGATGTTATTTTTACAGATGCCAACATTTCAATGAACTGTAGAGTGGTATAGTATTCAATGTTCCAAATGTTCTTATTGGGTTGAAAAGATATTCACTGAATCAAATTCAAGTGGATAACAAAATTTTTTTCATGGAATTCTGATGAATATTTCTTCCATGAAACACCAATTAAAAATTACATAATGTAAGTCTACGGGAAAACAAGACTTGACTTTCAGACAATTCAACTTAAGGACACTCTTGATGCACCAATTATGTCTGCATCTGGGGGTCTCACAGTACTTTTTACATAATGCCATAAAATGGAAATGTGAAGCAGAATTTTTTCAAAATACCTGTACGTTCAAAATCTTAAAAAAATAAAAATAGAAGTTCCTTCCACTGATGAACAATATTCAAAAAATGCAAGAAATAATTTCTAATTTTCACTTTAAACAAGGCTGTTAATTCAATTTTTTTTCGCATGCACAAAAAAAAATATTCTCCTGACAATATATCATCAATTGAAAATAATGTAAAAAATCTAATTAATTTTTTTATAATATGCCTTGGGATTCATTGGTCAAGAAAAAACTTTGGGAAATGCCCACGTCCTCATAAAATACAAAATTGTGGAACAAATAACTCTTGGCTGACAGTGGGCTGATCTTCATAATGATCCAATTGGAACCCCACTTTGAATTCTCTCCAGGCGCAAATTTACCAGCTCTATAAAGACTTTGTCATTGATTAGTAGCCTCAAGTGTAAGTAATTTTCAAAGGGAAACTATTCCCGGTTGTTTTCGGTCGAGTGACAAACGCGTTTCGTCCTTCGAAGCTTAATCATCTCAGCTGCAGGACGAATTTAATCCAGTGACGACAAACCAAATCTTGAAGAAAAAAAAAGAATGACGAAGAAGGTGCCGGAAAAGTTGCGCCCGTTTGTGGCCTCCGTGAAGGAAGTTTTTTCAGGAGGACGAAATATGGAGACGATGGAAAATGGGTTGGAAAATAATTCAAAAATAGAAACCAGGTTTTGCTGGCTGACGAGGTTGATGCAAATTCCGTTGTGCGTCATGGGATTGTTGCCTTTTGCACAAGTTTTGCGAGGAACTCCGAGATTCGAGTGGATTTCACTGGGCACTTTATTCGTCCTTGCAAATGTGCACTTAATACACCAAACGCCCTTGTCGGAAAAAGTTATGACACTCGGTAAAAAATTTTTAGTGAACAGGAACTTACTTAAGGGTTAATAAAAAAGGTATACGATATAAAACACATACTTTACATAAATTCCGAATGTGCTTGACGAAAAAAATTATAACAGGTCTAAAATCGCATTGAAAGCACCCATTCAGATTAAAATTACCAGTAAGCCTAATCATAAAAAGACAGGTTTTCCTGATTTGCCTAAACCTAGTGAGCACAAAAATGCCTGTTTTGGGTCCAAAATTCATCCAAAGCAACTTATCCCAGAAACTTGCCAAAAAAGGACAATTGAAGTCAAGTTGCTTTGGATGAAAATCGGACAACATGTCGGATTCTGATCCAAAAGTCATCCAAAAGTGGTTGTCTTCTGGATGACTTTTGGATCAAAAACAGACCAGTTTTGGAGGGATTTGGGACATCTTTTGGATAAAGATCAGACAATATGTCAAATTTTTATCCAAAAGATGTCCTAATTTCCTCCAAAACGTTCATCTTTCATTTTTCAATTCTGCTAAACTGTGGTAAATTTTTCCATCCACCATGGGAGTTCACATTCTTCTTCACAAAGATATTTATTAATTTTTCATTTTGTACAGCTAACCCAGATGTTCCAAAACTCATCCTTGGAAGCTTCTGTGAGAATTGGGTTTCATGCCCACTCTCAAGGGAAATTGAAGAGACCAAATGGTCCTAAAAATCCAAACCTTTAGGAAACCCAAAACAGAAAACTGCAAACAGCAGAAACTTAATATTCAATACAAAAAAACGCTGTGGAAATTTCCACAACCCTGCCAACCCATCTTCCAAAAAGAGTCCCAAAAGGGATTCCACTTTGTCTTGAACGTTAGTACCAAGTGGATCAAAACCAGTACTTGGCAAATTTTGTGTTTATGAAAACCAAGCATCAAGCATAGATTCTAAAGTTAATAAATGATATTAACTTTAGAATGGGGTGTTCAGGCATCCCGGTTATAGCCCAACCAAATTCTTGTGTTTTATTTCAAAATCATGGGAATATAACATAAATCTTTCCAACACATAGGTTCCTTTTTGAATTTTAATTTTAATTTTTTTTCTCAGTTCTTGGACCTGTATTCAGCGGTAGAAGCCTAGGCATGATTGAATTGCTGGTGCTTTTCACTCGGATAACCTGCTTCTGCGGTTATCTACTCACTTTTCTAGTGAGCATCATTCATGTGAAAGAGCTGAACACGTTTTTCCAAAGAGCCCTGCTGCTGAGGGAGGCTGGAAATTTGGCCAAACCTGGCTGCCAATTGGAGCCCTGGTGGAGGGAACTTTTCCTCTTCTTCACCATCCTGGGGTCTTGTTTTGGCATTATTTATGTGGAGTTCAACTTGCTTGGAGGAACTGTTTGGAATGTAAGGATGATATATAAGCGAATTCATTTTTGAGAAATTGGAGGGGCCAAAAAAAAAAATTTGAGCCTCTAATTGGCCATGTTTGATATACCCTAGCAGGAAATGCTGACTTTCTTCCATTATAAAGACATTTTTTCAAGGTCCATATTCTTTTGAAACCGCAGCTAAAACTAAAAATACAAACAGCTGAAAATATCACGTTACCTAATCCACGAATTTAAGGAAATCATATTTTTTCTGCAGCTTTTGCTCATAATGTTGGGAATAATAGAAGTTTCAAAATGGAAAACCTTCTCTTATAATTTTATGGTAAGAAGTGTGTTGATATCCTCCAGAAAAAATCTGAAATTTGATTCATGTATTGATTTTACCAGAATAAGCTCACCCAACTTTCTTTAACTGGTTAATTAATTTTTTTTCGAGATCGTGTGAAAGGTTCCTGTATAGTCACACCTAAAATGTTTTAAAATGGAGTCTTTAAATAACACACACCGTTATTCTTAAACGGATCATATATTCTATTGGTGGAAATGCCCTCAAAGTACAATTTTAAAGGTGCTATCTTGAAATTCAACCATCCTGCAATTTGATGGTTGAATTTGCTAAGATAGGTGAACTCTTCTCAATTCAACCTCTGCCATGCAATTCAACCTGTAGCGAGACATGAAATGTCAAATGGCACATAGAAAACATGCCATGTGATGGTGTCTTGCAATTTGAACACTTTCCAATTGACCTTAGTCCAGCAATGGATTAGGGTCAAATTTCAAGATACCACCTGTATAATATAAAGAAAAACCTTCAAAAACTTAGGAAACAAAAGTTTGCTTTTAAAATCCTGTTTTTTATGCACAAAAGCAGCAGTGTCTAGTCTAACTGTACTTTCTTGCATTAAATTAATTTCCTTCTGGAATTTTTTTTTTTTTTACAGATCATCACAAGATGTCCGCCATTGCTCTACAGCGCTTTCATCCTCCTTATCTTCTACTCATTCACTCAAACCTGCAAAAGATTCATGGACACAATCGAGTTTCACATTTTCAAGAGCGATTCAATTACATGGACCCTGTTCGAGATATGGAACCCATTGACATGGTGCATACTTTTCACGAGACCGTGAAATTCGTCCACATTGTGCTCATAAGCCAATCTGCAGAGGTCATCTTGAAAAAGGTACAAAAAGTCATTTATTTCAATCAATGACAACTATTGATGTTCTCTAGTGGTTCAATACAATTTATCCTGAAACATACAGTATTTCTTTTTACAATCATTGAATGGAGTGTGTGCAGAATTTTCTGCCGGCTTGTCTATGAAACTAAGAGTCAAAGAAACAAGCCAACTTATAATTTAATCCGCTTATCTCAGGATCAATGCGCCAGAAGGAAGGGAAAATAAGGGAATCTCGGGAACTGGAGTGTTTGAAACATCATGGCTAAGAAAATTGGCAATACAATAACTTGACAAGAATAGGAAAAGAGCGACCCCCAGAACCAGGACAAGACCATTACAAAATCGGCGCCTTTTTCTGCAGGAGAGAACCGATTCCCCCTCTGCTGTTTTGAGACCAGGGTCATTTAACCTCTGTTTCTTAAAGCAACACATCTGGGAGAAGTTGAATGTGACTCAGAAAGTTGAAGGAGTAAAATGAGCTAGAATTAAGAAACCATGACAATGAATTATGAAGTGGAATGAATAAAAGTTCTTTTGAAATCCAGAAGTAAACTCACAAGATCAAGCAA